TCCTTTACATCATATTTCATCTATTCGATGTGGTTTAGATACAACAATAGAAAATGGTAAAATTAACTTCCTTAAATATAACAGTATTTATAATTGTATTGAACAATTTAACTTATACAAAAAATTACCATATCAATTTACTCCTGTTTATCAAATCATATCATTAATTCTTCGTGGAATGTCTGAAGTCGAATATATGGTTGATACTGAAAATAATTAAACGTTTCTTTTCCTTAAATTAACTACTTTTATACTACTAATAATATATTTATTTTCTTTAACATAAATTAATAACATTTTCATATAGTTCTTTTTATATTTCATATCACTCAGTTTCACATTTTGACATCATTAATTATGTTATCTAAAAATAAACTGAATTGAATAAGGAGAGACAAATATTTAATTAATAAATACTAATGTTTATGGTCGAGCATACATACGAGTCCATTCTCTTGCTGTATCTTCAAATTGTTTCTTATTAGCTCGTAATACATTAGCTACTTCTGGATCAAGAGGATCAGAAGGATTAGGATCAGTTAATAAAGATGAAATACTTAACAATACACGAGAAAGAGTTAAAGCAGGACTCCATTGATCTTTAAGAATGTCAAGACAAATAACACCATTCTTATTAATGTTTGGATGATATACTTTTGTCATAAATGTTACTCGTGGTGCTTTAAACGGATAATCAACTGGGAAATGAACGTCTAAGAAGAATAATCCTCCTTGATATGGAGAATCATCAGGTCCAGTTATTGTTGCAGTCCAATGGAATATATCATCTCCAACTGGTCCAGCACTACAATTGCAAGGAGGATCCTGTTGGATCTCCCTCAACTCTTTTTGAATTCTACGCATAGCCATCTTTGAAAAATAAGACAACTAAAAATTATCAGTTAGAGGATTAATAACATTAAACAAAAACCCTAAAAATCGAAAAAGGAAAAAAATTCAATCAAACACAACACCAAATAATGATGTTTTATATTTTATTCCTAATTCTTCACAATCAGTTTTTGATGGTTCATTTACTGTTTGATCATTTGACATAACCATAAAAGGATTTACAACAACACTGATTGTTGTTGTAACTGGACATACTTTTGGATCAATAATATCTTTAATCCCAAGTTCAGGTGGAAGAATAACAGGGTCATCTTCTGAAGTTGGAAAAGACTGTGCTAATAATGCAACTTTAGGATGAGGATGTTTTTGAAGTAATAGATGTTCCCATAAAAATGATTCTTCAATATGAGTTTCACGTAAATCAATATCAAATTTAGAAGATGCACTAAATGGTGTTGTTTCAAATGGATCAACATCTGGATAACGATATGATGGAATTGCTGGTCGATGAAGTAAATAATGAATTTGAGGAAGTGCATAAAGAACTTTAAGAATAAAGTTTAAAATAATAAGAATTGATCCAGTTGGAGCTTCTAAACAAAGTCTTAATGATTTTTTTATAAAAGCAGCTGAAGCATATAATGGAGTATAAGAACTTATAATATATTTATAAAGTCGATCATAATAAGTAGACATAACAGGACTCAAAAGTAATCGAGGAGTTAATGTAGAATATAATAATTGAATATATGAAGGAACAGTTAAACCATGTTGTACAATAAGATGATGTAAACACATAAGAGAATATGTTTGATATAAATAATTATTTGATTTTGAAAAGTTTAGTAAATAATCATAAAATAATAATGGATCAAATTTAATTGATTTTACTTCAATAGGTGTTGAAACTCCTAATACCATTTCTAATGTTTTTAAGAATTTTAAAGTTGTTTGTTTATTCATTTCGAATGTAATTAATTTATGAAGAGTTGGTAACATTTTAACATTCATAGGAAATAAGTTTAATAAATTTAATGTATTTTCTACAATACATTTTCTTGTTTTTAATTCAACAACTACTTTTCTAATGAATGAATAACCCTATTTTTTTTTAAATTAAAGATAGAGAAGTCAACAAACGGTAAAATATTTAATGTATTCATATTGTTTTTAATAAAACTCTTGAATTTAGTTTTATCTAAAGGGAAAGGAGAAGTTGTTAGGACTTTCTTCAAATCCATGAATATTAAATTTCTTTTTTTTTCATTTTTAGTTTTTATATTTTTAAAAAACAAAAATATGTATTATAAATAATAAGAAAAATGTTATTTTTGATTAAAATTTATTTGTTATATCATTTAGTTGTTATAGTTTATTTTATCATTTCTTACGATTTTTTTTCTTATTTTTATTCATAGAGAATTATAAAAAGATGAAAGATATTGGTTTTTTTTTGATTTTGAACTTCTCTTTATTTTATTCTTCTAAGAGTTTTTAAATATATTTTTTTTTTATTTCTTCATTCTTTTGTTTCATTTATTAAATGATATATTATTGTATTGTAGTTTTGTTAATAGTTTCATTAATAATTTGAAGTCTGAATGTTTATTTCGTCTTATTGATATTATTTAATTCTTATATTATTAAAATGTATTATTCCTTAATCAACTTCTATTTTAGATAAAAACATAGATTTCATTAATAATTGATAATGTCAGTAATTAATATATTCTAATTTGCTCAATGAATAAAATAATATATGAGAAGTAATAAAATATTATTCAGACATTTTTGTTCTTCTTTATCTTTACTTTGTGATAGACTATTTGTTTTATTATTTAATACTCATTCATTTCTATTTTTTAATATAATAAAACATTTTCCTTTTTATAGTAGGTTATTTCTTATTGTAGTAATATAAATTTCATAAGACCCTTTTCCAATGCAGGAAATACAACAAATTTTAATGTCATGGCTATTGTATAAAACCTTTGTGTCTTGTAAAGAAAAACAAACAAGACACAGAAATTCAGTGTCATACAAAAAAAAGAAATGTCAATAGTAATAAATGGCATAACAATAATAAAAGTAAAAGAAATACCAAGGGAAAAGGGATTTAGAAGATGAAAGACACAAATAAAAACAAATAAAAAAACAAAGTACAGTAATAATAAAGATTACATAAATAACAAATATAAATGAATAACAACAAATGATATACAAGAAAGAATAAAATGAATAACAATTGAATGGAATAAAAGAGAGTATGAAGAAATACTCAAAAAGAAAAAGATAAATGAAAGAAATAAAGAAGAAATTAAAGAAAAAACAAAAGATTGGGAAGAAAAAGACATTAAGGCGATTGAAGAAGAAATTAAAAACAAAATCCAATTAAAGAAATGAAAGAAAGATGTAAAATTGTAAGAATAATAAATAACAAACATAGCAAAAGGAAAATACAAGAATAAATAGGAAATAAAGAAGAAAAGAAAGAAATTATACAACACTAATAAATATTTTTAAGTAATAAATAGAAATATTCGCATAAAGTATGTTTTACAAAAACCAATAAGTACTGATGATACTTTCAATTAGAGTTTATAATTCACCTGAATCTTCAATTATAACAGGTTTAGTTGTTTCTCCTGAACGATTTCCTTGATTCATAACTTTTTCACAAACATCCATTCCTTCAATTACTTCACCAAAAACAACATGTCGTCCATCTAACCAATAAGTAGGAATCATTTCAATGAAAAATTGACTGTTATTAGTGTTTTCACCGTAATTAGCCATTGAAACCAATCCTTTCTTAGTATGGTTTAATACAAAATTTTCATCATCAAACATATCACCATAAATACTTTCTCCACCAAGTCCATTTGCACTAACAATATCTCCTCCTTGAATAATAAATCCTGGTATTACACGATGAAACTTAGTTCCTTTATAATGAAGTGGCATTCCATATTTTCCAATTCCTTTTTCACCTGTACATAATGCTCTGAAATTTTCTACAGTTTTAGGTACTATTTCTCCATAAAGACCAATTACAATTCTTCCAACTTTTTCATATCCAATACGAATATCTAAAAAAACTTTGTTAGTAATTTTAGGTTGTACTTTAGGTGGCGGTTGTGGTCCTCTTTCATTCTCAGCAAAAACAGTTAAAACACATAATAAAAATAAGAAACGCATAATATTAATTTACGTTTATAATTTCTTAGTTCATTTAATTTAAACAACTATTTATTAAAAAAATTTAAAAAAATATGGAAAAGAATTCAATTAAAAACTTACTGTGAACCAGCAGCAAGTTTTGATTGAAGTTCAGCAATTTGAGCATCTTTCTTTGCAAGTTCAGTTTCAAGGTAATTAACTCTATTCTTGAGTTGTTCCCATTCTTCTCTAATTTCTTTATCACTCTTTGGAGCTTCAACCTTTTTAACAACTGGATTGAATGAGGCAGCAGGTTTTTCTGGTGGTACATATCCAGGAGCAAAATTGAATGACATATCTGGTTCATTAGAAGTACCTTCTTTCCATTCGTTAGCAGTTTCAACAGGAATACCAGCATATGTATTTGGGAAAATATCATCTTGGAAGATTTCTGATTTTCTTGGTACACAGAAAGAGACTGGAACAACTCCATCTCTAGTAACTTTCATAAATCTAGTAATTTCACATGTTGTAGTATTGCAAATTCTCTTTGGAATAACTCCTAATCCAGATTGTGGTTTTTCTCCTCTGAAAGTATTAAGAGAATAGAAGTATGGTTTTTTCATGAACAATTTCAAAGTATGAAATTCCTGAATCACCTTTACCTCCAAGATAAAGAATAGATGAATCTGGATCATAGAATGGCATAAGAACACCTGATTGATTATCAACTGTATGTCTACAAAGTGGTGTAGCAAGATTTCTTGGATCCCAGAATGCCATTTCTCTTTCAGCGTTTCTTGAAAATCCAGTTGTAAAGATCATTTCATTGTTTTGCATCCATAAACATCTCATACCTTTAGATCCTTGATGTGCAAGAACATCACTAGCAACAGTTTGTTGTCTTGGATCAATAATTCTAATTTTCTTATCTTTGCATGTTGAAACAAGTTCACTTCCAACTCTATTCCATGCAACTGAATTAATAATATCAGTAAATCCTCCAATAGAAAACATTTCTTCACCTTGTTCAATATCCCAAATTTTAATAGTAGTATCAGCAGATGAAGTGGCTAAAACATTAGATGCACATGGATTGAAATTACAGGTACCAACCTTTCTCTTATGTCCTTGAAGAGTTTGAGCAGCTTCATGAATATTTCCTGATGGACAATCTTCTGGAATATTCCAAATGCAAATATTACAGTCTTCAGATACTGAAGCAATAAGATTATCATTAAATGGATTGTAGTCAATATCAAGAACTGTTCCTTTATGTCCACTAACAAGGCAAACATCTACTTGTTTTCCAACTTTAGTGTATGGGATAACAGCAAAAGCTCCTCCTCCAGCTACATCCCAAATCATTGAGAAATGTTTGCAACCACAAGCAATCATATTAGAATCCCATGCGGATTTAGTCATTTTAGTTCCACTGTATTGTTGGTCAATTTTAAATTCAGTACCAAAGACATGTCTATACTTTGAGGCTCTAACGAATTTGCCAGACATCTGAGTTTAATGATTTCAATTCAAGTTCTCGTCTTTTTGAGCTCTGCTTAAACGCTTGGATCTGAATCTAACTTTTCTCTGTTTTATTTTTAGAATTCTAGTTGAAGTTTTTTTTTTAGATGGAACTTAAAATTTATAATTTTTTTTTGTTTTTTTTATTAAAATTTTGATAAATCAAATCAGAAAAAGTAATAAAAGAAGAATAAAATAAAACTGATGGTGAGGAATTTTTTTAATAAAATAATTACTGAAAAAGAAAGTAAAAATGCTTAAAATAATAAAATAGTAAAAAATAATAATAAAAATAGTATTTAAAATAGTTTATTAAAGAAGAGAAGAAGTGATTAAAGTTGAGAACTAATAAATCAAAACAATGTTGTTTATCTTTTTCATCCTTGTTTTGGCTTTTGTTAATGCTCAAGAAGAAGCTGTTATTGAAACACCAGATGAAAACCAAGTTAGTCCATTAATAATAGAAAAAAATATTGAAGATGACCTCTTTTTCACTGAAACAGAGGTAACTATAGTAGTTACTGTGACAAATCCAGGACCATCAAATGTATCAAATGTAGTTATTTATGATGAAGTTCCTCAATGTATGAAACTTGTTGAAGGTCAAAGTAATAGTGTTACTTTTGATTTTATTCCAGTTGGATCAACTGTTAATCTTACTTATGTTGCTGTACCAATTCTTACTGGTACTCATTATATTGATAGTGCTTATGTCAACTTCACTTTAAATAGAATGAAAAAACAATTAATATCAGATCCATTTGGTAGTATTTTCATTCAACCATATAAAGGATTTATTTCAGTATGTATTGAATGGGGTGTCATTATTATTATTGGTTGCGTTCTTTGCCTTCTTTGGGCTTTTTATAAATCTAAAAAAGAAGCTTATAGACAAAAAGTCCTTCGTTCTAAAGGATTTGGTACTGTTTCACCAACTACTACTACTTCTCCAAAACAATCTACTTCTTCAAAAGTTGCTGAAAAACAAAAATCTGATTAAAATTGAATTATCGTTGATTCATTCAATTCTTTTCTTTCTTTTTTTTTAATTGCATATTATTCTTATATTTTTGGTAAATATCTATCTTTTCCAAAATGTTTTGAAACACAATCAACTTCCACTGTTTGATTTAAACTCTTACACAAATAAATTCCTAATGTATCTTCTGATTCAGCAAAATTTGAAAATTTTAAGTATCTCAAAAATATTTCTAATTGGTTTTTAGAACGTAAATTTCCCCAAGCACCCCATAAGTGTATTTCAAAAGTGTTTATTGTTCTTTTATAATATTCTTTATATGGTTCAATTGCTATTTTTGAAAAACATGTATTTTGTTGATTTTTTTCCATTAATTTTAATATATGTTCAAATGCATTTATTGAATAACTTTGATCATCTTCAGCAAATAGAACAAAATCATTTGGTTGCATATTTTTAATTACTGTTTGTATTCCAATTTCAAAAAAATAATTAATTGTTAGATGTTTTACATATTTTGTTCTACTCCAATCTGGATTTCCTGTTCTACTCCAAGTAGCTGATAAAACTTCATTTGTCCAACTTTCTCCTGTTATTCCTTTAAATTTATTTAAAGGAGGTTCGATATATGAAATTTCTATTTCAGGAAATGATTTTGTAAAATCATCTATAATATTATTGAATATAGGAAACAAACATGAAACAATACATCCTTTAATAAAGAGAATACGTTTAATTACTAATGTTATAGGTTTGTGTTGAAGTGCTTGTTTTAAGCTTTTCATTGAAAGGGAAAAACAAGGTCTTTTTTTTGGACCAACAACAACAATTATTGATAATGAGTATGAAAAAGATTGTAAGAAAAATAAACTAAAGAAGAAGAGCATTGTTGAATGTATTAATAGGGTTTTTAACTTAGTTTAAAAAGGAGGATTTAGCAAATTATCTAACAGTAAAAATATTATATTTTCAACAACGATGAACTATTTTCGTTGATGTTATAAAAATAAATTTGATGAACTTCCATAAGACAGAATAAAAAAGAATTTACTGTTAGAAACAAAAGAAATAATAAAGATGAAGTTTAGGTTAAAAATTTTGGGTAAGATGAAAACAAAATAAAACAAGTTAAAGAGATAAAAATAGAAGAGAATAATTTTAAGATCAGAGGTAAAGACTATTTAAATCTAAGAAATAAGAAAAAAATCATAAGATTATGAGTAGTGAAGAAGACAACCAAAATCTCGTTAAATGCGCAGAAGAAATTTGTGAAGTATTTGCTGATAGTGTATCATCTCTTGTTTTAATGCTTGTTGCTTTACAAGAGAAAAATAAACCACCAAGACCAGAGATGCAAATGTCTATTCAAAGTGTTGCTGAGCAATCTGACAATATTGGACAAATTGCAAAGGACCTTGCAGAAGAAGATTATGAAGAGTATCCTGATATTCAAAAAGAAATTCTTGACGCAGCTGAGGAAGTATTTACTGGATCAAGTGATTTAACTCAAGCAGCCAATAACCTTAAAACATCTAACTTAAAAGAAGGTTATCAACAACTTGTTGATGGATGTAGAATTTGTGGAACTAATTGTATTAAATTGTTACAAATTGTCTATGGAGCTACATTTAAGAAACTTGCAGCTGAACAAGAAAAAATGAGAGAGCTTGCAGAACAAATGGATACTAAATTAGTTGATGAAGATCCACAACGATTTGCAGATATTGCAGGAGATTTATGTTCAGCAGGTTTACAAATTGCTGAAGATATGAGAACACAAGCTGATGGAGAAGCAGTTCCATCAGATAAAGCTGAGATGCAAGAACTTGCTGATAATATTGAGAAGTATTCAAATGAACTTCTTGATACAGTTAATGCATATCTTGAAGATCCAGATAATGAAAAGTTAAGAGTTGAAATGGAAGAAGCTAAAGAAAGATTAATGAAAGAAATGGAAAAGGCTAAAGAAAGAGTTGCTAAAAGTCAAGAAATTGTTAAAAAACAACAAGAAGCTCTTAACGCACAAACAGCCGCACAAAATGCTAGTATTGATGAAAAAATAAAGAACTCAAAACCAATTGTTCCAAAAGAAGAACAAGTAAAAACAGGACTTTCTGTATTAGAAAACTTAGATAAAGCTGGAGAAGCAGTCTTTTGGAATAATCCAAAAGATTTTGTTTCATCAACTAATGAAAATATGCAAGAAATTCCAAAATTTGTAGATGGAAGAATTGCTGATGCTAGAAATGAAAAGAACCCAGAAAAAGAGGAAGAAGCAAAAAAAATTAAAGAAGATTTCCAAACATTTGTAGATAATGCTAAAACTGCATTTTCAGAACCAGAAAATGATGCTAAGAAAGAAGCAGCAATTCAATCATATAAAGAAGATAGAGCAAGAATTGTTAAAGAATTACAAGAACTTGGAGTAGAAGATATTCCAGAACAACCACAAGTTGAAGAAGCTACATTTGATATAGAAGATGAAAGTATTATTGCCAATAGTGAACAAGCACTTAAGACTATGCCAAAAGATAAATTAGATAAATTAAAGAATACTTATAAACAAATAGAAGCAATGGAATATGCAGTAGATAATGGAGATAATAATGCATTTATTTCTAATGCTAAACCTGTTATTAATGATGTTCAACAAGCAGCACAAATAATGAACCAAGAAGCAGTTAAAAATAAAGATGTTAAGAAAAAGAAAATTGCAGAGAATCTTAGTGAAGATCTTGCACCATCAATTAATGATTCTAAAGCATCACTTGTTGATAAAGAAAATAAAGCCAAAAAGGAAAAGGCTAAACAAAGTTTAGAAAAATTAAAAGAAGATGTTGTTGATGCTCTTGTTGTTGAAGGAATTACTAAGAAACAAGCTGAAAAAGCACTTTCTGAAAAAGAAAGAAATGAAGAATTAATTAAAGAACTTTTAACTATGAAGCAAGCAGCTGTTGAAATGCAAGATGCCGTTAATAATAAAAATACAGGTGCATTAGCTAAAAATGCTAAAGAAGCATTAACAGCAACAAAAGCCACTGTTCCAAAAATGAAAGAAACAGCACAAAAACAAAAGGAACCATTACTTGATGCATATGCTGATAATATTCAAAGAAAATTAGTTCCAGCTATTAATGATTCCAATACATTTATTAAGGATTCAAAAGATGAGAAGAAAGCAGAACAAGCTAACAAGGCTATTACTGAATATATTGAGGCAATTGATGATGCATTGAGAGAATGTAAAGCAACACCAGATGAAATGCAAGTTGCAGTTAAAGTAAAAGAAGACAGTGAAGTTACAAAGAAAGCAGAGAAAACAAAAGAATGTACTAAGAAAGCAAGAGATTGTTTATTTAATGGAGATTTAGATGAATTAGAAGATGCAATGGCAGAACTTGATGGAGCACAAGATGAGATGTTAAGAACTATGATTGAAGATGCTAAAAAGAGTGGAAGAAAAGATGATGTCAAAAAAATTAAAGACACTAAAGAAGAATATGAAAAAGCTTCAGAAGAGGTTAAAAAAGCTAAAAAAGATCCAAAAGATAAAGAACAAAGACAAAAAGCATCAGAAAAATTAAGAAAATATCAAGAAACCCTTGATAAAATAATGGAAGATGAAGGTAAACCAATAAAAGAAACAGAAAAAACACAAAACAAAGTTGATGAAGATTTAGAATTATTGAGAGAGGGAATTGAAAATGTTGATAGTGAGAAAGTGAAAGAAGCAAATAACAAATTAACAAAAGATTTTGAAAAATATAAAGCTGAAAAAGAAAAAGAGGGACAAAATGTTGATGATGTTTTAATTCCTGTTAAAGAGGCACAAGCCGCTGCTGTTACTGCTGCTCGTGATCCAAAGAATATTATTAAAAGAAAGAAGGCTGTTGATTCAATTAAAAAATGTAGAAATAAATTATATAACAAACCAGAAGAAGTTAAATCAGATGAAAAACAAAGCAAAGAAGATCTAAAAGAGATTGAAGAAATTGAGGAACTTGCTGATTCAATTATTCTTAATGATGATGAAGAGGCACGTCTTTTAATTGAAGAAATTGCAAAAGCATCAAGAAGAGTTGCAGAAGCACTTGAAGAAGAAAATGAAGAAAAACTTAAAAGTGCATTAGAAGAGCTTGAAAAGAAAAAGAAGATGAAGGATAATGTTATCAATAAAGCAATTGAAAGATGCCCAGAGGAGGATAGAAAGTTATTAAAACAATCAAATGAAAAAATAGATAAATTAAGTGAAGAACAAATTGAATTAGCTAAACAAGCATTAGAAGATGGTAATATGAAAGAAAAAGCATCAAAAGCTAAGAAGAATTCTGGAGAAACATCTAAAGTTGCACAATCCATGAAACCAATGTTAGGTAAAACAAGTGAAATAAAAGCAGAAGAATCATCTAAAGCTATTTTAGATGATTGTAAATTAGCAGAAAAACTTGCAAAAGAACCAAATGAACGATTAGCTAAAGAATTAAAGAAAAAATTAGCTAAAGACGTTGAGAATTATGAAAATGCTATTAAAGATATGATTGAAAATGCAGATATTACTCCAGAGGAAAAAGAAGCTCTTTTGAAAAATCTTGAAGAAGTTAAAAAGAAGGCTAAAGAAGTTGATAGTAATTTAGATAAACTTATAAAGAATCCAAAAGATAAACAAGCACAAGAAGACTTAATTAAGTCAGCTAAAGAATTGAATGAGTCTGTCAATAAGATGAATGATAACTTTGATGTTGAGCCAAAAGCAAAATGCAAGAAAACAGAAAGAGTACTTGATAAATGTAAAGAAGCAGTTCTTTGTAAAGATAAGGAAGAAGGTAATAAGGCATTGAATGAATTAGATAAACAATACGAAGAATTAATGAAGTCAATTGATGAGGCAATTGCCAAAGAAAAGGATGCAAAGAAAAAGAAAGAATTAGAAGAGGCTAAGAAAAAAGTACAAGAATCAATTGCAGAAGCTAAAAAAGCTACCAAAAAAGCACTTGATACAAATAATGATGAAGATATTCTTGATTGTGAAATTGCATGTGATTCAGCTAAAGCTGATGTTGAAAAGTTAAAAGAAAAATTAAAAGGAGGAAAGACTAAAGGTAGTAAAAAATCATCTGTTGCTGATAGAATGAAATATCTTGCACATGCCAGAAAAGCAATGAAAGATAAAAACTTTGCTATGGCTCGTGACGACCTTCAAAAATTGAAAAAATTATTGACTGATGCATTAGATGATCCTGAGTTAGATGAAGAAACTAGAAATCAAATTGAAGACCTCATTAGCAAAATTGATTTTGCATTAGAAGACATTGAACATGCCGAAGAGAATGGAACTCTTTCAGAAATTAATGATATGGTAGCACATTTGAATGACTTAACTGGAAATGATATTACAGAACAAGCTAAAGCTAAATCAAAGGCTAGAGGAATTGCTGCAAGAGCTAGAGGAGGAAAGAAAACTAATCTCTCTAACCTTGTTAAAGGATCACGTGATCTTGCTAATAAAATGAAAGGACTTAAATTCAATGTTAAAGATGAAGCACATGAAAATATGGATGGACTTAGTGATCAAGCTAAAGCTGCTCTTGAATTAAATGATCTCTTAGATAATATGTCTGATGGAGTTGATCTTGATGGTATGTTAGGAAGTATGACAGTTGATGAAGAACCAGCTGAACCACCAAAGAATGAGTTAGAGTCTCAAATTAATTCTGTTGCTGATTTAATTAAACAAACTGCTGCTGAAGAGTCAAAACCAAAAGCTACTGGTAAAACAAAAGAAATTGCAAAAGCCGAGATGCCAGCTGTTTGTGGAGATATTGCTGTCCATTTCAGAGAACTTGCAAAACATGCATCATGTGCTAATAAAGAAGGTATTATTGTTGAAGGTAGAACAATTGCAGCTGCTATTGGACAATTCTGTAAAGAGCTTCAAAAGGCTCAGCCAATTTGTAAAGATCCAAGAACTGCTGATGATATGGCTCGTTCACTTCAAGCATTAAGAAATCTTTCTACACAACTTAAGATTGTCTGCTCAGTTAAAGCTGCTACAGTTGGAAAAGGTGATACTGAAGGTGATAATCAACTTATTGCTATTTGTCAAAATATTGGAAATAATATGAAAGGTGGTATGGAAACTCTTGCTGTTGCAAATAGAACTAAGCTTCTTAAAAACTAATCTAAATCATCTTTATTTTATTTATTTGTAATGTTTCAATTGAAAAAGAAGAGATAGACATTTTTCAATACTAAGGAATATATTAGTTTATATTATGTTTATTATTATTTTGTAATATTTTTGAGTCTTGAAAAGAAAAAATAAATAAGAATATACAAGAGAATGAATATAAATAGCAGTAAATTGGATAGTATGAATAATAAATAAAATACAGCGAAAAAGTTAATTAAAAGAGAAAGAAAAAAAAAATAAATAATATAATAGTAGTAAAAATAACAGCAATAAGAAATGTAGAATATTATCAAAGAATGAAATGAAAGTGAAATAAGCGAATATGAAGAAAGAAATTAAAAAAAAAAATAAGAAAAGAAATAATGATATAGAACAAGATGTGTAATTAATCCAAAATAAAAAGACAATGGAAAAACTTCAAGAAGAACAGAAAGAATTGAAAAGAAGAAGATAAAAACAATATTCAAAAGAAAGAAATAAAACAAAAATAAAATGAATGGTTTTGATGAAATAGATTAAATATAATGGAAAGTATTTGAAGAAAAGAAATAGGATAAAATGATATAAAAAAATAAGCAATTAATAGTTTCAATAAATAACTTAATACATACAAAGAAAAATAAATTAATAAAGTTTTTAAAAAATGAAATTAAACCCAAAAATAATAAAAAAACATTGTAATTAAAAATACGATGTATGTCATAGACTATTAGTTCAACAAAAGACACTCAGTAGATCTAATAACAAAGTAGCTTTTTTTCAATAAAGAAAAGAATAATAGATAAACGAATCAAATAACACTTAATTAACTAATTTTTATTAAATTTTATTATAACTATATTATATAAATTTACTATTTCTTTATTTCTTCTTTTGAATGTTTCTTTTCTTTATCTCTTTAAATTCTTCTTTTCTTTATTATTCATGTTTTATTGAACTTATTGAATTTATACACCAATACTTTTATAATATTGAGTGAGTGGTATTTCAAATAATTAAAATTTTTAAGATAGTTTAAAGAGAAAAAAAAGAAATAGAATTAAGTTAGTTAGAGTGAAGTTGAAGTAAAATTTAATCAACTAAATTCACGTAATGACAGATAATGAGACACATAAAGGATTGAATAGTAAAGTTATGATTCAAAAATAGTTTTATTTGAATAAAAATACAAAAGTATCATGAAAATTCTGATTAATATACTTTTAAACCCTCAAAAGTAGAACTCCATTATATAAAGTAATGGATAGTGATAGATCTATTGTTACACCAATTTTAATTCCTTCAAGCCCTACTTTAAATTCACTAGAAGACTCTGACTCTGAGAAAGTATTGTTATTAGAACAATATTCAAAAAGGGAAAGACAAAGTTGCTTATTTTATGCACCTAAAACAGTGTTTATATCAATGTCAATACTTGTATTTCTTACATCCATTGCCATTTTCAGTGTTGTTATTCTTTATACATTGAATCTGTTGTAATTTACTAATATCCTAAAATTAAAAATTTCCTTTTTATTCAAATGAATAAGAAACTTCAATCTCTTGAAAGAATTTTTCTTTTAGACATTTCTAAAAAAAAGAAAAGTTCATCTAAAAAAATTAAATTCATTGTGAAAAGTTAAATGTTTGGACGAAAGAAGATTGTTACGATGAAACCTATCAAAAAATTACCACATGGAACAGTTAGACATGAACTTCACATAAAAATTAAAGATGGAGTTAATAAAGGAGATATTCTTCATGCTGTTAAATGTCCACCTGGACAAAATATTAATGATTGGGTTGCTGTTAATTGTTTTGACTTATTTAATGAAATTAATTTAACTTATTCATCTATTACTGCTTTATGTACTACAACAAGATGTCCTGTAATGAATGCTGGTCCTAAAATGGAATATGTTTGGATTGAAAATAATAAGTCAGTAAAATTAAGTGCTCCAGAGTACTGTGAAAAGTTATTTACATGGGTTCAAAATTGTTTTGATGATACTTCTATTTTTCCAGCTGAATTTACAAGTAAACCACCAAAACAATTTGCAGAAACAGTAAGGAAAATATTCAAACGATTATTTAGAGTATATGCTCATATGTTTTATAATCATATGGAACATTTAGAACAACTTGGTATTCAAGGAATTGCTCTTCGAGGATTTAAACATTTTTATGCATTTTGTCGTCAATATAAAATGTTAGGAAAAGAAGATGTTGTTCCTTTACATTCTCTTGTTGAAGACTTAGATAAAGAATTTGGGTTCAAATCTTTGTAATTCAGTTTTTGAAAGTTCATTTTTAATGTTATAATAAACAGTCATTTATTTATTTGTTATCACTTGGAGTTCAACGTCTGGAATAGATGCTTTCATTCTTTTCTTTTTAATTATTGCATAGATTATTGACGATGTTGCAGTGATAATAATAAGTGCACCAAATATTGCAGTACAAATCAAAAGCCAAATATTATATGATTGAGGTACTTCATTTGTTTCTAAAAATTAGTCATATTCATTTTACAAATTAAAATATTACAAACCATACATTTGAATATGTAAGTTACATGTTGTAGCATTTGTTGAAGATGCTTTTACTCTATATGTTTGACTACTTTTTCCATAAAATGAAGCAGAACAAAACCCATTTCCTCGTTCTGTATTATATGTTAATGTTTGTTCTTTTACACAATCAAGTGTTGACGTTAAAATAACATGACAATCCAAGTCTGTTGTTGGACATGCGTCAATGTAAATCATAAGATTATATCCATCCATTGTCATCCATAATCCTCTATGATAATTTCCACTTGGGTCAATAGTAATAGGATCATCTTGTGCAATAGTAGTACTAATGGTTTGAGGTAGAACAGTCTTTCTTGGGTTCTGACAAAAGAACTGTTTTTTGTATGGGGTAATTTGAAGGAAATATGATCCAATTGACTTATGAACACTAGAAATGAAAATATAATACAAAGTATTATATGTTGTATTTAGTTGTAAGAACGATAATCCATTTTCATTACAACCATTATAATCTTGTAATAAACATTTTTTTGATATAACTCCATTTGTTTCAGTAGCTTTCATTATTGTTATTAAAGTATCAAAATTACTAAAAGAGTTACATAAAGATATGTTGATTTGATTTCCATCTCCTTTAAATGTATACCAATAGCCATACTCATCATGAATACAATCTTCGTTAACAGAAGGGTTAATAGAATTTATTTCATTTTCATGATAAAATGGGAGAGATTGAATATGAAAATAAGGTATATTTGTTAAATCTTCTTCTTTATATGATAAATACTTATAATAAACAAAACATTAAAACTTACCAAAAAATAACAAACGATTGAAAAATAATAATGAAAAAGAAGATTGAACTTTTGAACAAATAAAAAATGAATAATTTTTATCTGCTTCAACACTAAAACTATATCTTGAATAGATGCCACACCCACCACTTGAACGAGATTTATATATTAATTCATTATTGTTCCAACAATTAATAATTTCATAAATATATGTTGCAATTGAACTTGTTGAGTCACAAGTAGAAATTACAATTTGCTGGTTGTTAGAGAGATGAATATTTGTTAAAATACCATAATATGGAACATCGTCAATATAAAGTGTATTGAAATTATAAACAGAAAAAGAAGATGGCAATGAGTTAATCAAAGTACCATTTTCACAGTTATTTGCATAAATAGTAGAAATAAATAACAACAACCAAACCATTAACCATTTTAAGTTCTTTTCTAAAAATGCGAATTTATTTGTATTACGTTTTATATAACAAATAAAGTCAAACAATCAATTAAAACGACTCTTTAATTTTTTCTTGAATCATATCTTCTCTCTTCATAATAATTTTTTCGTCGCTCACGTGAATCAGAACGACTTCGTTCTCTATAACTACTTCTTTGTCTACAGGAACGAGAATATCTTAAATTTGAAGTTGGAGGTCTTGAATGCTCACGTTGGTGATGGTCAGAATATTGAACAAACTTTTTAAGATCACTAAATGAAGTAAGACTGTCTTCATCAAGTTCATGAGAATTAGGCTGAGAAGTTCCTTTAAAAAATTCTAAAAGAGGTTTGTAATAAACTTGAGGAATTCGCGGAAGAATACACCCCTCGAATTTTGGTTCAAGAATTAAGTCTTTAACTAAACATTTTATTTGTTTTGTTTTTTCTCCATGAAGAGATATGTTAACAACAGCACGATCATCAACAAACGGTTTAAGGTATGAGAGTAATAAATTGAATTGTATACTGTAACGTATTATTAATGCAGCAATACACCTAACATATTTGTTTGAATGAGTACTCATCATTCTGATGTCATCTGGTGTTGGATTTAATTGAAATAATCTTAATAAAACACAAAAAGCGGTTGAAGGAGATGAACTGGATTTTTGGATATATGGGCTTATGTAATGAACATCATTTATAATAATATCAATAAGGTCTGAAATTGAATGAATTGAACCTAAAGTTTTAAACATATAATCAGAATGAGTAATATTTGTAAATAAAATAGAATCGATGTTCATTGTTCTTGTATTTCCTTGTGTTGGAAGTGTTTTTCCTTCACTCATTTTAATTCAATAACAGATTTATAGTTCTTTTGTTGAAAGGACAAAAAAATTGATTAGTTAATATGAAAAGATGTTCATATTAAAAAAACACAAATCATGTGAAAAATTTTTATTTTTTTTTTTTATAAAATTAATCATTAACGAAAAATTTTATTTCATCAAACGTCTGTTATGTGAGAAAAACTAGGAAATTAAAGAAAGAAGTTGATTTTTGAATTAAAAAAGGAAAAAATAAAATAAAACTAAAAAATAAAAAACTAATATTTTAATACCTATGCAAGGTCATGATGCTTTGAATGAAGCAGAAAATGGGGTGATGCTTGTCTCTTCAGAAGAAATCCCAAGAACACAAAAACAAAGAAAGAAAAATTGGAAATGTGTTTTTCCTAATTGTAATGAGCCAGTAAAAACTCGATTTAATTGTTATGCTCATGTATGGGATGCTCATTTACGTCAATACTATACTCAAAATTATCCTGACATGTATCCAACAACTGCGTTCAAAAAAACACAAAATAAAACACCAATGAAAAGTCTTTGTGAAAAGTATATGATTCAATTAGTTGAAAAACCTAATTCAAAAGAAAAGGGAAGTAGCGAAACAAAGCAACAAAATTCATTAAATGAAGTAATTCAACAAATTCCAATTATCGAACAAAATACTCTAAAAACTGAACAAAATATGACTTATACTATTTCTCCTGACCAAACTTCTAATGGTGTTCGTGAAATAGAAATGTCTTCACCAAATCAATCAAATGAAATATCTCTCCCTTCTCCATCAAGAATAACAAATAATCCTGAACAACTCTCTGAATCAAATTATCCATTTGCATTCTTATCTGAGTATCAATTTAATAATCAATTTATTACAAATAATTATCATATTTCTCCAACTGATCAACCAATTCAACAATTTCAACCAACTGCAACAATTGCTATTGAAGAAACAAATCAACAGAACCCCAATATTATTCAAGACAACTCAGATTTTATTAAAATAGAACAAATAACTACTCAATTAAAAAGGTTACATGTTTTTGGTGAAATATTTGCTGAAAATGGATATCTTGTTCGTTCTGATGCTAGGTCTAAAACAGATATTCAAACAATTGAAAATGCATTAAATTCAGTTACTTCTTTAGTTGGTAAAAAATATGCTTATAAAAATGAGCCAAATAAAATAAAATATGGATTTATTGCACAAGAAGTTCAAGAAGTTATTCCAGACTTAGTTCAAAAAGATGAAAGTGGTAATTTGAGCGTTGACTATTTAGGTGTTATTCCATACATAGTAGAGGCATTAAAAACTATTCATGACAATTCAGTAAGTTTAGAAAATTCATCAAGAAAAGAATATACTGAATTATCTCAAATTGTGGAAGACGCTGTTTTACAACTTCAAATGTTAATGGAAGAAAAAGGGAAACATATCTTTCTTGAAAAAGAATCAAGAGCTTCAACATTATTAACTTTTGATATATTTGGACCACCAATAGTGGTGTTATTAATGGGAATTATGTTTAGTATTTTGAGTATAGTTATTCCATTTTTTGTTCCATACTTATTCTTTACTCTTGGAGTTTTAGTTGTTGTTACAATTGTTCTTTGGACAGTGGTCATTGCTCAGAGAAAACAATTAAAAGATTTCTTTGTATTTAGGATTATGAAATTACGTTGGTTAAAATCTCAATTCTTTGTTTGGTTTTCTATATTAACTCTTATTCATGTCTCTCTTCTAATATCAATTTTATTAGGATATGGTGGGTTAATTATGACAGCAGTTTATATTATATTCTTTACTTTGTTAGCTGCAGTTACATACATCCTTCATATATCACCAAAGTTGCATTGGAAATTTACATTTACAGTATCATTGTTTATTCTATCATTCATATTAACTATAATATGTTCTATATTATTAACAATTTTTCAACCATTTATTTCTTTAAATATTAGAGAAATGAATAAACCTTATCATGTAAATATTCGTCCTAATGAGCCAATAACCCCAATGGTATTATCATCCCCTCCTTGGAATTGTTTTTCCCCTCAAATACAAAGTGACATTCCACTACCTCAAAATTTAACTATAGTAATGCCTTCAAGTTCAACTCCAAATTCTGTTTCACCAACTGTCCGAGGAATAGTTTCTGATGACATTTCTACTAATGATATTGAATTTTATATTGTTTGTTCAGGACTTATTAAAGTAAGTTATGGCAAAGTTACACTTAAATCTTGTGAAACAAAAACTAATGAAAAGACTTGTTTAAATAATAAATGTGGGTGGTGTTCAAGTACCAAAAAATGTGGGTTTTGTGAACATGGTGGTGAGTTTTGTGATAATGATGACACACATGGTTGTTAGTTAGATAATGTAATGATAATAATATTGCTGTATTAAATCAATTGTTTTCTTTTGATTTTATTTTTTATTTAAATAAGATGAAATGAATTGAAAGTTGTATGTTAAGAAATGTCATATATACATTACAATATTTCAATGAGCTGAGTCACGCTTATCATTTGGTTATGAAGCTGCCATTAGTTAGAAAACATCTTATTCAATATTGCAATAACAGCAGGGATTATTATTGATGGCTGAGCGTCATTTATTATAATAGAAGAATTAGTATTTGTAAAGATGATAGTATTACATACTTGTTAGAATGTAAGTTTATTTGATAATATAGGTTTTATTAAAGAAAATGATATTCATGTTGGTGGTAAAAGAAATTAGCCATTAAATTCAAATAAAGAAGAGATAGTTATTTGAATGAATAATAAATGAATTAGTATTGTTTGAAAAAAAAATGTTAATTCAATGTAAATAAAAGAAAGAAGATAAGAATCTCAAATTTCTCTACAATGAAAAAAAAACAGATGAATAGTTTGTGAATAAAAGTCTTAAATTACAAGATGTAGTTAATTTCTGATGAGCAAAGAATGATAGAAAATAAATATAATACCATTTATTAAAAATAAATATTCAATTGGTTTGACATCTTTTGGTATTTTATTTCAATATTTTATATTTTTAAATTCTTTTTCTTATTCTTTTTCTTTTAAAAAATTTTGAATATTCAACTTCATATACCATATTACCTCTTTAACTGTTTTTCACGTTTAAATATTTCATATTCTTCATCATAAATATAAATTGTTTCAATGATATGAAATAATATTCTTGAATAATGAATTAAATGAATTATATTTCAATTAAATTATCACATATTTTATTGAATTTTTTTAATTTCCATTTCTAAATTAATAAAATCATTACTATCATCAAAATGCTTTGACATTAGCATTATTTCATTATATAACACAATTTCATTCATTTTTTATTATTTATTATTGTATTTTGATTTGAGCTTAAAATATTTTTAAGCTATAAACCTTGAGTTTTTATTTTTTTAGCTTTATTTTTAATCTAAAAATCAGATTTATTATGTTTTAATTATTGATAAAATATTCTAAAAACAATAAACAGATTGAATAGAATATAAAAATTGAATGATTTAATAAAGGCAATAAATCAAATATCAATGAAAAGAACTGAAACAAATTGAAATGATTTAGAAGAAATGTTGAAAGGCAATTAATCATTAAAATCCATCAATTTACATAAGAAATAAATGTAGTGTTTTTAAGTACTCAACCAACTGATACACAATTGCAACTCACTTTGGTGTTGATAAAAATGAATAAAGAAAGTTAAAAAGACAATGAAATATAGTTTATAATGTTTATAAAGAGGTAATGATGAATAATTGAGACAATTGTTTGACCAAGAATAACAAGAAATAAAAATGATAGAAGAATAGAATGAATAAGCAAAAGGTGCAATATATGAATTGTTTATTATATGATTCTGATGCAATGATAGAACTTATAAATCAAAAGATGAAAAAGAATTGAAATATATTGAATGAAACACTTTAAAAAGATGTATGAAGATAATGATAAAATGAATATCAATGAAACAGCATGTCAAGATATAATAAAATACAAACACGAAACAGTGTGTCAAAGAGAGATAAAGAAAGAATATCATAATGATTATTTTTATCAATAATACACTTTTTAAATTATTCTTTCAATAAACAACGAGAAATAGTACGATGTTTATTATATGTATTATAAACAGTTTTAATAATGAAGAAAATAGAGGCGTTAGAAACATAAACAAATTATACACAATGGATTAAAAAGGCAACAAAAAGCAAATAATAGAAAAAAAGAAGAGAAAGATATAAGCAAATAAAAGAAAGAAGTAGAATATAAAGATATAAAAGAATAAGAAGAAAGTAGAAGAAGAAAGAAGATAAAAAGTAATAAATCACAAAGATGTAATAAAAGAAGAATAGAAGAAATAAATGGTGTATTTTTATTATAAAAAATAGAAATATGAAATAAAAGTGTCTAATTTAATGATTTAAAATGATTAATATTATTTTATTAATGAAAAACATTTTATTCCTTTTTATGTTTATTATTTATATGTATAATTTCAACATGATGTTTATTATATATTCAATCATATATGTTATGTTATTATTATAACATGTAACATTTAATAAAATATAAATATAAATGAAAATGATATGATATGAATATATGATATAGAATATAAAACAAAAGAATAACAAGAATAAATGATAAATAAAACGAGAAATGATAATCAATGATATAATAATAAAATCAAAGGGCAACGAAAAAAAGCAAATAATTGAAAAAGAAGAGAATGAATGATATAAAAGAATAAAAAGAAAGTAAAAAGTTGGATATGATGAAGAAAGAATAAAAGTAGAAAGGAGAGAATATAAAAAGAAAGAAGATAAAGTGTAATAAAACAAAAGAGATGATAAAAGAAGAATAGAAAGAAAAAAATAAAGGATGCAAATTTTATTTCAACAAATAAAAAAAGCGCAAAATTTAATGATGCAAAATTTAATGATGCAAAATATTTAGCAACATATTTTATTGATGCAAAA